TGCAGGGTGGTGACACATGGAGTAAAGGGGCCTCTGTCACATGGGAAAGAATTCTCTAGGGCAGTGTGGTGCCAACCTGGGCAACTGCTACAGCCCGGGGTCAGGCCTGCTCCTCAGTTCCGGCCTGGTGCCAACATCTGTGCTTATACTACAAGACACACTAGAGCTCCGAGAATGCCCTTGGCCACCAATGACAGGTGGCTTTCCCTCTCCAAGACTCTTTGAAGAGGGGGAATGAACACTTCCCAGAAGCCCCTGCTGACTTCCTCTTTAGCACTTCATTCAGAATGAAGCTGCATACTACCTAAGACCAATCACAGCCAAGGAGAAAGAGTAGACCACACAGGTTTTCACCATTTCCATCCATCCTGAGGCCAGTGAGGCTGGGTTTCCTTACACAAGCAGGTCTGTTAACAAGAAGGTGGGGCCGGAGATGTAGCTCAGCTGGAGAGTGCCAGCCTCACATACACAAGGGCCACTGTATAAATTGGGCATGATTTAGCGTGCCTGGAATCCCAGAGCCCAGGATGTAGAGGGGCAGGATCAGAAGTTCAAAGTTATCCTCAACAACATAGAGTTCAAGGCTAGCCTGAGCTACATTAGACCCTGTCTTTAAAAACAAAAACAAACAAAACTAAACTAAAACCTAGAAGATGTTGTCTAGGAAGCTAGGCAAACCTCTGGCAGTGCCAAGCTTGGCTGCTGTGCATCCCCATCACATGGACTGTGTGTCCCCATCTGATGGGGTCTGCCTTTCCAGTGGCCCCAGTGCTTGCCTCAGAACAGGCCTGTCCCCACCAGCAGTTTTGTGATATTAACAACTGTCAGCTCAGTGTCTTTTTCCCTCTAATTTCAGCCAACCAGGACCCCTGTCAGGTACAGCCGTGCCAATGTGACAAAGTCGCCACTGTTTTGCCCGGAACTTGAAAACCTTCAAGGAACCTCAAGCATTCTTTTTCGATAGGAGCTGCAGAAAGAAGACGCCCAGCTGCTCATTTCTACACTCTCTGGTAGTCTAGACAGTCTCCTCTAGTACCCTTCCCAGCTCAACCATGTCCCCCTGTGATAAACACCCTTCTCCCACCTCAAGGCAGGGTAGAGGCCCTTCTGTCATCACTCAGATGAGACACCAAAGCCTGGTGAGTTAGACTGATCTTTCCCTGTCACTCAACTACCTTGGACTGGCAGATTGTCCGCCTCCAGCTTCCCCTTGGCACCCAACCTCCTGCCTCACAGTGCCACGGAGGCTCCTAAAAATAAAGTACTTCACTAACCACCATGTGTGTTCTCTTAACGTGAAATGAGACTGATATGAAGTATATATGCTAAAAGTATAGGTTTCGGGCTGAGGAGATAGCACAGTCCATAAAGTGCTTACCATGCAAGCTTGAGGACCTAGGTTCAACCCCAGAACCCACACACGTGAGGCACACACTTGTTCACAACCTTAGAGTTGGGGAAACAAAGGCAGGTGGATCCTGCGGCTCCATGACCAGCCAGCCTACTTGAATCAGCGAGTTCCAGGCCAGTGAGAGACCCTGCCTCCCAAACCAAGGCACATAGTGTCCTGAGGACCCAAACCTGAGCTTGATCTACAGCTTGCACGCATAAACGTGCACACACATATGCATGCATGCATGGGCATGCACACACACAGACACAGACACACAGACACAGACACAGACACAGACACACACACACACACACACACACACACACACACACGGACTCCAGGTTAGTCTAGACAGGTCTAACCATAAATACCCCACCACCTTAAGCCCTGATTCTGTTATTCAAATGGAGCCCCTTTGTCAGAGCCTCCTGCTAGGGCTTGTTTGGGAATTAAGAGGGGACACAGATGTCAAGCAGTTTCCAACCACTACAGCTGCCATCCCTTCAAAGGCAGGACTCTCTCTCCCTGCCCCCAAGCCCAGGCTGTTTTTCCTGGCTGGTAGGGGGAGGTGGAAGCCAAAACCAGCAGAAGAAAGTGGAGTTGCTTCGGTCAAGGTTCTGCCACTTTGAATTTAAAGAAAACAGGGATTACGGTGGATGGCATCATGTGCCCACAAGCCTGGCACAGACCTACTCCCAGAAGACTGCCAGAGCCATGGCGTGTGCAAAGAGCTGCGCACCGAGAAAAATAAACTCCTGTGCCCCTGCACCTGTCAAACTGAGAGCTTCGCACAGATCCGTAAAATGCCCGGACAGCTCCACACTTCTCTTTGCCTGTGAAGGAACAATCAGAAACCAATGAGACTGCCCAGCTCGGGGTACATCTGTGGGAGCAGGGCCGACAAGTAAAGGCACTCACCTGTCTGTCTCTGCTGTTTCCTCTCCCTACTTTAAATCTGGTAACTTTTTCACATATAAAGACAAACTGCAATAAAAGCAGTTTAAAGACCATGCCAACCCCCAGATGAGAGTTTTTCTTTTGACATTTTGGCCAATAGATATAGTGACATTTCATTTCCATTTTTATAAATAAAGCTGGCCTGAAGTTCAGAGAGTGAAACAGCCCCACTGGGTTGATGCAATGATTTTGTTTATCAACAACATAAAAGAAAAATCCTTCACTTCCTTCTCACACTAGATTCTGAGTAGAATGTTCCAGAATAGCTGTCTTTCATTCCACCACTCAGTGTCCCAGGAGACAGCCTCCACCTTCAGCATCTTCCAAGAGGAACCCAGAAAGGGCACAAGGTGCATCTGGTTTGGGTTTGTCCTGGTGTGGACATGACCCTTTGAACTGACCCTTTGAGCCAAGCTCAGGTCTGAAGCAGGTCTAGGACACTCATCTACCATAGGCTGCAAAGAGTGAGGGACAGCTGGGGTGCACTGGAACCCCACAGCCTCTACTGTAGGAGTGTCTGAAGGATTAGTGTCCAGTGATTTACTTAAGGACATGGAAGCCAAATTCTTAGCACAGGTGGGAGGGCAGGGGAAGAAAGATGTTTAGTTTGGAACTAAAGCACTCAAGCGTGGAGAATAAAGACGTCATAGGCCCAGGAAACATTAAGAAGCCCACTGCCAAACTGGTGAGGGCTAGGAGGGACAGTGGTGGTGACATTTGGTGGGAAAAATCAAGAACAGCTACTGGATTTTTCCAGGTTTAAAAATCTTACAGAACTGGTAAATGGCTCAGTCAGTAAAGTGCTTGCTTTGCAGTCCCGAGGACCTGAGTTCAATCCCCAGAACCTATGTAATATGAACAGACTTGTCACTCCAGTGCTGGGGAGACGAAGGTGACCAGGTCCCTGGGACTCTCTGTTCAGCCAGATTGGTTTACTTTGTGAAGCTCAGGTCAATGAGAGGCCCTATCTCAAAAATCATGGCAGACAGTTCCGGAAGAACTATATCCAAGGTTGTCCTCTAAACTCCACTCACGTGCACACACAAATGTACACACATGTGTACACACAGGCACCTGCACACACCGGCACAACCACAGACACATAAACACACAGAGAAGAAAACCACATGGGATGAGAGAGGAGGAGGACCATGAAGGGGAGGAAGAAGAGAATATGGAGATGCTGGGCTCTTTGGGGGACAGAGAATCCAGCCCATCCAATCCTGCCCATGCTGGAGTGGTCTGTGGGGCCCCAAGAACTTGACTCCTGCACCGTCCTCATCACCCTCTCAAGAAGTTTGTGCAGCCTTGGTCCTCACAGAGGCTTAGCATATATCTTTTGTGATTGAATGCATGTTGAATGGAGGAAATGAACAAACGCTACTGCATCAATGTCCTCTTCCCTATTCGCAAATGTCACAATCAGTTAGGAAAAGGAACATTCCTGGCTTACAAACACTCTCATTTCCACTGCTTACACAGTTCTTGCCCACTCCTGGGAGTGGCTGCTGGGCGGTGACCTGTTGGTTACTCCCAGATTGGATAGAGAAACTTCCTCAGCCAGGAACTGAGCCCTTTTCTCAGCAGCCGGAGAGTTTCAAAATCAGCTGGATTTATTATAGTGTAAACCCATGGTATGAAGGATTTTCCAGCTCTCAAGGCTGTCCAGCCAGATGACGAGGGGGAAAAAAAGGGGAATTGCTCAGGGCTTTGGGTATCCTATCTATGAATCCACCATTTGACCACGCCCACCTCTCCGTCCCTGTGTCTCACCAACCCCCAACCCTGCAGAAGGAAGGGCTATTTAAGGGCAGATGAAGTTCAGGAAAAACAAGACAGGCCCTTGAAGAAGAAGCTGCGGCATCGTCCGAGAGGTAAATGCCCAGAAGCTCCAGCCTTGTGACTGCATTTGAGTGGTTGTCTAGATGCATGTATGTGTGTGCTTGTGGACATGCCTGTGCATGTGAACCACCATCACGTAAACATGTGAAAGACCGTATTTGTGTGCAAGTATGTTGTATGGGTTTGTGAGGGTGCTGAGCGAGAATTCAAGAGCATGTGTGTGTACATGCAACCTACGCGGGCTTAGAAAGGCTTGCCAAGAGAATGTGCAGCTTTAGTTCGGGACAAAAACTGTTGGGGATCAGATTCCATGGATGGAGTTCCAAAGCCTTCACCCTAACGCAGGGAGGCAGGTTGAGTATCTAATGAAGAGAGGCATTGTCTTCAGCCTCCCAGTTTTGTGGAATGAATCCAGTCTCCCAGGAGGACTGAAGGAGGTGCTAGGGTGCTCCCGGTACTGTATCATATTCCAACAGAGCAGGGAAGGGACAAGGGGTGACACGCATGATGCACTGTCTGAAGCCACCTTATGCTCTCTATGACTTAGCCCCATGCGAGAGCACGTCTGTACTCCAGGGTTGCTAAGTCAGACAGCAGAGCAGGGGCTGGGGCAGAGGCCGAGACTCCTGGTAGGAAACGCCCGGGCCAGTCGTCTATACTTGTCGTTCACAGGCTGACACCATGAAGGTCCTCCTGCTGCTAACAGCTGTCATCATGGCCTTTGGTAAGACTTGACTCTGAACTCAGCAGGGTGGGGGGAAATCTAAGGAGAAGGGCACCCCATCCTCCAGTGCTCCTTCCCATTCCCCAGCCCTCTCTCAGTGGGAATGGGAAGGAAGGTATTTGTGGGGAGAGAGGCAGTAGCGAGATGCCAATGCGGAGGAGGGGCACGGGGCTCACTGCCCTTCACCAGCCATTTCTCCATCTCTTTTCAGGCCCAATACAGATCCAAGGGAGCCTTGCAGAGTTTAGACAAATGATCTTACTTAAGACGGGAAAGAGAGCTGAGACCAGCTATGCCTTCTACGGTTGCCACTGTGGCGTGGGTGGCAGGGGATCCCCCAAGGATGCGACAGATCGGTGAGGACACCCCTATCTTCAGTTCACTCTGGCTGGAACGGGACTAGGACAGAACTGGTACCAGTTGCCTCAGGGTCCTGGTGGGGTCAGGACTAGGACAGACCTGGTATTTTTCCTCAGGTCCCTGGGGTACCCCCACCAGTAAAATAGTGCATTGGGAACTCTGTTCTAGACCCCTCCAATGTTTCTGAGTCTCTGCTCAGGGTGAAAGATAAAGGGACCTTGGGAGGCACCAGGATTTCAGGGCTGTGAGAATACAGCCTCAACAGGACGTGCCCCCCCCCCACCTCCACCGACCAGGTGCTGTGTTGCTCACGACTGTTGCTACGACCGGCTGCAGAAACATAATTGCGGCACAAAATTTCTGACCTACAAGTTCTCCTACCGAGGGGGCAAAATCACCTGCTCCGGTAAGAAAAACCCTGAGATCCTGGCAAGCTGCCCTCACGTGTTTATTGAGCAAATAAATGCTGGGCATTGTGCCGGAGCAGAAGGGGAATTTATCCCTGCTTAGAACCTCATGGAAGACTCCAGTGGGAAGGCATAAACAGGCTTTGCACAGCCTGAGGCTTGCAGGGGGTCCTGCAAACAGTGGTACCTAAGCTGAGTCCTAAGAGAGTCAGTGAGGCTCACAGTGGGAGAGGAAGGTTGGACTACCCCTCAAACAAGGCACAGCATGGCCAAAAGGTCAAAGAGGACAATAGGCCACTCTGTGCTGCCCAATGGACACGTGAGGATGAGTCTGAGCAGTGAGACAAGAAGGGACAAGAAAAATCCGGGCCTTCCTAGCCATTGTCTTGAGGTTTGGGGACCACAGCAACAGGGTCCTATTATTTAGCAAAGTAGCAAGAGACACTTCTGCACAAAGAGGGCTCACCCTGGCTGGGGGAAATGGGCAGGGGGGGGCAGCGAGCCATGCTGCCTGCAGGGTGGTGACACATGGAGTAAAGGGGCCTCTGTCACATGGGAAAGAATTCTCTAGGGCAGTGTGGTGCCAACCTGGGCAACTGCTACAGCCCGGGGTCAGGCCTGCTCCTCAGTTCCGGCCTGGTGCCAACATCTGTGCTTATACTACAAGACACACTAGAGCTCCGAGAATGCCCTTGGCCACCAATGACAGGTGGCTTTCCCTCTCCAAGACTCTTTGAAGAGGGGGAATGAACACTTCCCAGAAGCCCCTGCTGACTTCCTCTTTAGCACTTCATTCAGAATGAAGCTGCATACTACCTAAGACCAATCACAGCCAAGGAGAAAGAGTAGACCACACAGGTTTTCACCATTTCCATCCATCCTGAGGCCAGTGAGGCTGGGTTTCCTTACACAAGCAGGTCTGTTAACAAGAAGGTGGGGCCGGAGATGTAGCTCAGCTGGAGAGTGCCAGCCTCACATACACAAGGGCCACTGTATAAATTGGGCATGATTTAGCGTGCCTGGAATCCCAGAGCCCAGGATGTAGAGGGGCAGGATCAGAAGTTCAAAGTTATCCTCAACAACATAGAGTTCAAGGCTAGCCTGAGCTACATTAGACCCTGTCTTTAAAAACAAAAACAAACAAAACTAAACTAAAACCTAGAAGATGTTGTCTAGGAAGCTAGGCAAACCTCTGGCAGTGCCAAGCTTGGCTGCTGTGCATCCCCATCACATGGACTGTGTGTCCCCATCTGATGGGGTCTGCCTTTCCAGTGGCCCCAGTGCTTGCCTCAGAACAGGCCTGTCCCCACCAGCAGCCTTGGGATATTAACAACTGTCAGCTCAGTGTCTGTTTCCCTCTAATTTCAGCCAACCAGGACCCCTGTCAGGTACAGCCGTGCCAATGTGACAAAGTCGCCACTGTTTTGCCCGGAACTTGAAAACCTTCAAGGAACCTCAAGCATTCTTTTTCGATAGGAGCTGCAGAAAGAAGACGCCCAGCTGCTCATTTCTACACTCTCTGGTAGTCTAGACAGTCTCCTCTAGTACCCTTCCCAGCTCAACCATGTCCCCCTGTGATAAACACCCTTCTCCCACCTCAAGGCAGGGTAGAGGCCCTTCTGTCATCACTCAGATGAGACACCAAAGCCTGGTGAGTTAGACTGATCTTTCCCTGTCACTCAACTATCTTGGACTGGCAGATTGTCCGCCTCCAGCTTCCCCTTGGCACCCAACCTCCTGCCTCACAGTGCCACGGAGGCTCCTAAAAATAAAGTACTTCACTAACCACCATGTGTGTTCTCTTAACGTGAAATGAGACTGATATGAAGTATATATGCTAAAAGTATAGGTTTCGGGCTGAGGAGATAGCACAGTCCATAAAGTGCTTACCATGCAAGCTTGAGGACCTAGGTTCAACCCCAGAACCCACACACGTGAGGCACACACTTGTTCACAACCTTAGAGTTGGGGAAACAAAGGCAGGTGGATCCTGCGGCTCCATGACCAGCCAGCCTACTTGAATCAGCGAGTTCCAGGCCAGTGAGAGACCCTGCCTCCCAAACCAAGGCACATAGTGTCCTGAGGACCCAAACCTGAGCTTGATCTACAGCTTGCACGCATAAACGTGCACACACATATGCATGCATGCATGGGCATGCACACACACAGACACAGACACACACACACACACACACACACACACACACACGGACTCCAGGTTAGTCTAGACAGGTCTAACCATAAATACCCCACCACCTTAAGCCCTGATTCTGTTATTCAAATGGAGCCCCTTTGTCAGAGCCTCCTGCTAGGGCTTGTTTGGGAATTAAGAGGGGACACAGATGTCAAGCAGTTTCCAACCACTACAGCTGCCATCCCTGTCAAAGGCTGAACTCCCTCTCCCCGCCCCCAGGCTAGAACTGTTTTTCCTGATCTATGGGAAGATGCAGAAGCTGAAGCCGGCAGAATAAAATGAAGTTGCTTCTTTCAAGGCTCTGCCACTTTGAACTTAACAAAAACAGGGATTATGGCGGACGGCATCATGTGCCCACAAGCCTGGCACAGACCTACTCCCAGAAGACTGCCAGAGCCATGGCGTGTGCACAGCTACCCACCGAGCAAAAATAAACTCCTGTGCCCCTGAACTTGTCAAACTGAGAAGCTTCGCACAGATCCGTAAAATGCCCGGACAGCTCCACACTTCTCTTTGCCTGTGAAGGAACAATCAGAAACCAGTGAGGTTCCCAGTTCGGGGTACGTCTGTGGGAGCAGGGTCGACGAGTAAAGGCTCTCAGTTGTCTGTCTCTGCTGTCCCTTCTGCCAACTTTGAATCTGCTCATTTTTTCACATATTAAGATAAAGACAAACTGCAATAAAAAAAATAAAACATGCCAACCCCCAGATGAGAGGGTTTTGTTTTGTTTTGTTTTTTTATCCAATAGAAGATGAGATTTTTAACTCCTCCCACCATCTGATAGTGATCCTGCAACTTACATCAACTCCTTGGCAACCCAGGCTCCTGAGGCACCGTCCTCAGAAATGAAAACTTGGGACTTGCGGCTTGAGATGATGAACTTCATGAAGCTGTTCCACCCTTTCAAGTCACCCCGATGCCGGAGCCTGAGCCTTGTGCAACAGTCAGAGCTCTGGCACCAGAAATCCGTTCCGAGTGTCATGCCCACACAAACACTGCCAATGACCTTCCAAAATTCATTCCCCAAAACGCTTCCTACCCAAACTGAGGAGTCAGGTAAACATCCAAGCTAAAGCAAAAAAAAAAAAAAAAAAAGGATTGAGCCGGGGAGGGGCGTTGGCAGGCCAGCAAGATGGCTTTTAGTGAGTAAAAATGTTTATTAAACAAGTTTGCCAACCCGTTTGATCTCTGGAACTGCTAAGGTAGAAGGGGAGAAAGTTGTCATTTGACCCAAACATGATGTGTGTGCAGTGGCAGGCACCTGTGTGCTCATACTCACATACATCTCATACATGTGTGCATGTGTGTGTGATGTGTATATACATATATATACACACAAATAATTTTAAAAATGCAATTTTCATTATTATTATTATTACATTCAGGATGCTCTCTTGGCAGCGCGTCATCCTCTAGTGCTAGTTAACAAGTAAACTGAGTGACTTACGGGAGAGCCAGAGCGATACAGAGAAACCCTGTCTCAGGGAGTCAAAGAAAGCCATCCCCACTGTGTCCCCTGGACAGAAGCTGCACTCAACCTGGCGGGAGAGCCTCTAAGCATGCCTGGGTATATTGCCTTCATTCTGTTAACCGACATGGGAAGACGCATCTTCATTGTGGTTGGCGCTGTTCTCTAGATCAGGGGCCCGGAAAACAGTACGAGGGAGCGTTCTTTGCTCTTTTCTTTTGACTGTGGATGCACCGGAACCAGCTGCCTCACGCTCCTGTGACCTTGATGTCCCCACTGCAATGAGCTTACCTTGATCTGTGAGCCAGAGTTCGTGCCTTCTCCCCTGAGTTGCTTCTGTCGAGGTTATCACAGCAAAAGGGAAAGAAGCCAAGACAGCCACCGAGAGGCTAACTCACTGTGTCCCGTTACGCTGGGGCTACCGGCATGCTCCCTCATGCCCAGCAAGCTGGCCTGGGTTTGTAATTACATTCTCTATAATTAGTGCTTATACTCAAGGGCTTTCAGGCAGTTCCTTGCCCTTGCCTTGGGCAGCTGACATCTTCCCTTATCTGGCAGGACTGAATCAGATGTTCTTTGTGGCTCAGTCAATGTCGTGTCTCCTGAGGATGGTCACCTTGGGTAGGGGACAGAGATGTGATAGACCATCTTTCCCATCATCCCCTTTGCTGCCACCATAGACAGGTACTCTGTTCAGCACCTTGCCACCAAGCACCTAAATCGGCATCACTGACTGAGATCCTCATCCTGCCACCCCAGGGATAAGGATCCAGGAAGAGGAAGAAATGAACTCGGAGGGCAGGAGAGAGCCTGCATTGCTCTCAGCCTTTCTCACCAGCAGTGGCTTGGGCCAGCTGTCACTGTGACAGAAAGGAAGTTATCCTAGACAGACATTTGTGCTCACCCTTCAATGAAGGGCTCGAGAAATGGGAATCTCCCTGGGAATCTCTGGAAGAATCTGACTCACACAGTTCTGAGAGCTCGCCAGAGCACCTTCTGGGGGTGACCGGAGCAGAGGGGCCAGTGGGTCAGTGATACACAGGACCAAGTCTTGACCAGGGATGCTGAGTTAGGCAAACCTCTGCACTCTCATGTCAAGACCCTGAAGATGGGTTGGACTTCACTGGACCCCTTTGCTCCTCTTCCCACCGTGGCTACATTGATTATATAATTCTCTGCTCTTTCACTGTTGCTTCCCTTTAATTGGCCTGCTGTGGTTGTGTGACTGAGCCTGGCTCATTAGAGCAGCCAGGGTCCAGCCTCTGACCCTAAGGGCTCTGGTGACACCATCACACCTCTGGAGCTTAGTCATCTCAGAACCAAAGAGCAAAACAGAAGAAAAGCACAGTCTTGAAAGTTCTCTGGCTAGGTGTGGTAACCTGAACCTGTAACTCCAGCACTTGGGAGGCTGGGGAGGAGCCTCAATCTGAGACCAGCCTAGGCTATATGATGAGAGAAGAGAAAAGAACGGTTTCCTCCACCCCCACCCACGGTCTGATCCTGCTCATCCCCTGCTCCAGGACCCATGGCTCAGCTCCCCATAACTGCACCCTGCAGTCTAGGTTGTCCCCAGCTTCCAGCAGAGCTTGGCTTAGGATCTTTTGTTATTTCCTCAGATCCAAGCTCCTCCCTCAGGCCTGTCATTCTGCCAGACTGGTTTTGGCAAAGGAGCCAGGAGCCTCTGCTAATTTGTAGTCCTGGCACACACAAAAAAAGGGGGTGGGGTGTACAGTGAAGCATCGTGTGTATAATTTAAAAGCACACACAGAGTTCCACAAACACTGAGTCCTTTTCGAGGAACCATACTTCTAAACAAACATAAAGAGTAGTCCCAATGGAGAATGGAAGACAAGAAAGGAAAACAGACGCATTGTAAGAAAACCAAGCCTTCCAGCAGCCAGGGATAGTAGCACGCCGTGAAGAGAGACCACTGGCAGGGCAACTGGACCATTAGAAAGGTGCTTAGGGCCGGCTAGGTGGCTCAATAGGTAAAGGCGTGTGCTGCTCAGCCTGGACCTGAGTTCGATCCCTGGGACTCACATACTAGGAGTGAGGCAGCCCCTGCAAACCAGCCTCCAGCTTCCACACATCTGCCAGGATTCA